CACTCCTTCCTCTCAGATTTTCCATACGAATTTCTGACTTCTCCTCCCTTGTTCTGCATTGTTTTAAACTACTAAGAAAGCAACATTAAGTGTGATTTGCTGCCGAACTTTGTGTTCGCTAAAACATTGGGGTTTGAAGTACCGCTACACCAGTGTGTAATTCGTTCTATCCTGGGAGGAAATAATCCATAACCTTGGGTACTAGGAGGGGATTAAATTCCTTAAGGAAACACTATGAATTCAGTGGGCTCGAATTAATTTGTGTTTCATTTATATCATTTATATTTACGTTAATAAGCTAACGTTTTAATTTCCATAATCATTATTTTACAAATACAGGAGGAACAACAGCTATCACGGCCTATAATAGAATTTGGGTCGTGAGAAAGAGCGTGCTTGCATCTAATTTGATAAGGCGTAATACATACGGAGACACCTAAAGTTGGCACGATCTTTCACTTAGACACTTAAACTAGACCTCTTTCCAATTAGACACGTTTCCTAGGCAATTCTCATACCAATAAGACACGTTTTTTGCTGGCTTATTAATTAACCAAGCGCGTGTTCTGCAATCTCCGTCTACGTGGCAAAAGTAACCATTATAAATCGTGCCACATCATTTTATTTGTCCACCTCAGCTATATAGTGTTATTTTCACTAAAATACAAATAACTAGCCCTAAACAAACATCTAAACATATTACCAACCCATCCATCCCCTCCGTCATCTTCCCCAACGACCCCCACCCCCTTCCTTTCCATCTTCATCTGCAAACAAAGTTGGCTCCCCTTCTCCTTGAACTTGAACCACCCCAAAAGACCCTTCTTCTCCATCCCTAAAATACCAGCCAGCACCCACCCATAAATGACCACTACATCTCCACCTCTTTCCGCCGCTCAAACCTAACACACACAACACCAGCGACTGAATCTCTCCGCTGGCAGACCCTAGCAGCCGCACCGTCTTCTTCAGCCTCATTGTCGCCATCCCCGCTACTAGAGCTCGCCGCAAACCACCACTCTCTGTTGCCCAGAAACAACCACACACACGCATAAATAGTGAACAGACAAGTGACGAGAAGGAAATGAGCTAGGTTTAGAAAAGAAAATTTCTGTTTACCTTCTTCATTATCCAGATTTCTTGACATAATTAATTTCAGTTCTGGCAGCTGGGTTAGGCTTCTTCTTCTTCACTTTATCCTTTTTGTTTTCTTCCAATCACAAATACTCACCTTTTCGTTTTCGGCAGAATTTGAATCTGGTATGGGATTCGAAAGAAGAATAGCGATTTGAGTCGGAGAAGATGACGGAAAGTGGAGGAGGCAATGGTGGAAATGGTGGTGGACATAAAGAAAAAGAAGGAAATTAAAAAAAAACAAAAAAAACTGTTTTTTGGGCTTTTCACGCGTCCATATTGGGTGAAACTCACTTTATGTGCCAACTCAGCAAGAAGTGTTTAATTGGAACAAAGTTTGGAACAAAGTTCATGTAACGTACGTGCTCAATAGGAACTCTCTTAAGTTTAGGTGTCTAAATGAAAGATCGTGCCAACTTTAAGTGTATCCGTATGTATTACGCCATTTGATAACCTAAAATATAAATAGTACATATGTACGATTATGTCTTTGATTACTTTGTTTTTCTGAATCCGTTTAAACGATTGAAAACGTGATTAAATATGATTTTGCTCTTCAGCAACTGATATGTGATAGGAACATAAGAAAAATCGGAAAAGAATTGTTTTGGAATAGATCCGTCACCGCTGTGTTGATCCGAATATTTATGGATGGATCTAGCTAATCCAAATATATATTGTTAAATAATAGTAAAATAGGTTGCTAAAGACTTTTGGTTCACGTGAAAGGGGTGGCGGTAGACATGATTCTTTTCAGTTAAATATTTTTTGTAACCCATTGTAAATTTCTTTCCATGATTCCTTGTGGGTTGGTTAAACGAGTTGGTAACAAACTTGTTTTGTGATATAATTTAAAATTAAAAAAAAGGGTATAGGCTCAAGGAAAGTAACTGGTGGCGGCAAAAGCTGTGAAAGCATAGCTTTCTTTATTTAAACTCTAGGTTACTTGTTTCCTTTGATGATTTCTTGGTGATTGGACAGATTATTATATATTTTTCTCCAGTTCGAGTTTTTTATTTTGTTGTGCATTAAAGAGAAGAGATCATTGATATATTGAGCATAGTCTTGGTCCTTGATTCACTGGATTGTTGGATTAAGTGTTGGATCATGAATCACAATAACGTAGGCTCACATTGTATCTCATATTTCTACTATATAGAAAAGGCAAAGATGGTCGACCAGGCAGATTTGTCATTATACTTGCCACCATCTTTGCTTTTTGGTAGAAATAATAATAAAAATAAGTTTTTCTACAAAGCTACAATATTCTAAAAGTCTTTCCCAATTTTATCTGCTTTTTTCTCCGACCAAACCCAACATCCTAGAACTCTCCAACAGTTCCTTTTATACATATAATGTATTTACTTCCGGTCGGTATATTTTGAAAGACTTGTGTAGGATTGATTCATCTTCACCCTTAGGTCAGTTCTTTAATCTTCTTCCAGTTTTTTTCAAAAAAAAATAAAATGATTTCATGTTCAATGGGTGTTCCAATTCCATATCTGATTTTCTTCCACTTCTTTCCCTTAATTTTTTTCCCCAAACCTGCTACCATTTCCAAATTTTATGGCTGAAATATATGGGTCATTGTATTTGAAAGAGATTATTTATGTCAGACTATCTCCCCAATGTTCTTGGCTTAATCCTCATTCTTCTGTTATTTTTGTATGATCTTAATTTATGTTTTGAATTTTAAGTATTAATAATGTCTACTATATAGAAAAGGCAAAGATGGTAGAAATTCGAAAAAACAGAAATATGATGGAAATGCTGAAATGAGAGGGAAAAAAAGGATTTTTCTAAAATTTTTTGTATTAGAGATCCAAAGAAGAGTGTTTTCTTTGCAGGCCGCCTCTATTCCTCTCTTCTTTCTCTTTACTCTCTTCTTTTACATAGTTACATGATAATTTTTACTTCAGTTCTTTATAATTAATGTTTCTTTGTCATCATTCTTCTATGTAATATATTCAAATGTATTTGTTAGTATTAGTTCTCAGAAAATGGTTGGCCTTAAAAAGTTATTGTTGGTTAGTTGTTGGTAATTCTTTAACGTATTCATCGGCTAATTGTTGCTATGACTTCTTTGAACAAAAGTTGTTGGCTACATCTGATGAGTCCACATGTGAATAAAATTTATATTTTCCCCTCAGCATATAGAAACCACTTATACGAGATCATTATTGACAGTTTCCTATTTTGGTTGTTTTGTTTTAATTACAGGTTTCGCTCTTTGTTGTATTGTCATAGCTATATGTTCGTGCGGTTTAGTAGCAAATCACTGGTGGTAAGTACTGCTCTTTTGCTGGATTTAATTTTTTCCACTTACCTTCTTCGTATTAAGGAGGTGTTGGCCTTTTTATTCATTTCATGTCGTCTCAATCATACTTTAACTCTTTTCGATTACAAGGTAATATATTCTATCCAAAATTAGTTATGTAGCTATGCATGTAATAGAAATATCTTTACTTGAGATGCTTTGCTTTGTGGTATATGCCAATACAATTTAACTTACATACCTTGTACGCATATCATTCATCAATGACAAACATATAGCTAAAATTGTAATTTTTTCCTTTTTTAAGCACCGGTCATTAGAAAAATATCCGGGCAATAGAAAAGCTGTCTTAATGGCGGATAGAAATCATGAAAATGACCAGAACTTTGGAAAAGCACGTGATGACAAAAGTTTTTCTATTATATAGAAAAACCAAGTCTGATCGACCAATGCCAGAATTATAATTACATCAATATGCAAGGTTAAATTGGTAAGATGGACAAATATAAAATATTTTATGTGTCCACTGCTTGCTCACTCCAGGTTTGACGGTAGCTCTAGAAACATCGTCTCTTTCATCTCTTTTCACAAAGAAATGCTCCTCCATTTTTTTGCTCGAATCTCTTCATATTCTTAATTAAGTGGCAATTAATGACGAGATTCATGCCTTTTTGGTTGTAGTTTCAGTTGAGTTCCAATTGCCCATTTATTAATTATATGATTTTTATAGTTCTTGAATAAGGTTTCTCCATAATGATGCCCTTTTGTCATTCTTGCCGTGTCGGCTTAAAACTCATGTGCATACTTCTATTTCCCTTATTTTCATTTGGAATATCTATTTATTTGCTTCTGTATGTATGAGAATTTTATCTTGCAATTGTCTTTTGGATTTAATTATGATTTTCTTTGTCTCTGGGATCTTTTGAATTATATTTATTTTCGAAATTTTTGTTTGTGTGTGTTTTTTCACATGTTCCAGAAATTTGCAGGAATGACAGGGGTTTATTGGATTGGTTTCTCCTTAACACTTTGACAGCTCTTTAATTGCATCTAAATTATCAAAGTGAGGTTCTCGAATTGCTTTGGTAGCTCTTTCCCTTTTGTCTTATTGTTTTGTAATAATCCATTTTTGAAGTATTTTCTCAGGGATTACTTATTGTTACGAGCGGGGGTTTTTATCCCCTTCTTGATTCTTGCCGCTTTATATCAGGTGAAACCTTATGTCTAAGCTCTAAAGAACCAAAATATATGATGGAATTTTATTCTAAAGATTCACCCTTTTCGGTAAGTTGTTTGTCATGTCTTTTACTTCAAACTTTTTGAAGCCCTCAGTTAAACTTTATATGCCTTTAAGATTCCGATGCTTTTACATATAATGTAAAAGAGGTTTCTGAAATAGTTTGGACATGTTTGTGAAAAATGATAACCAAATATGATCTTTTAGTCATAGAGGATCATCAAAGAGGTTGGGAGATTCTCTACTAGCAATATTTTAAAATGAAATGGCATATTTATATATGTCATGTAAGTTAGAATTCAAAGAAGATTCTATAGATACTCGTATTGTGTAGAACCTACCAGTATTTTTTTAGCGAGCCCCCTCAATTTATAAAGAATAGCGTAAAGTAGTACACTATTGGATAACACATCTTGCAGAACAAGTATCTTTGGAATTGATTGCATTTTTTTGGGGGAAGGTTCTTTATTATCCTTAGCTTTCTGGAGAATGAGGCTTGTGTACTTTTAAGTATTTGGCACAAAAACAACAACTACTATCCGCAATACCAAGCATGTTGAAGTCAGCTATTTGGCACAAAAAGATTATTGAGTATTGATTAATGAAATTATAGTTCCTCATATTCCCATGACGAAGCTGTAGGAATATAATGAAAACACAGCTATCTATCATGCTTCATGGAAATGTTTTTTCCTTGATCGCCATATTGTTGGATTAAGTACAATTTGCTATTTTATTCCCCTTTTAGCTTTAGAAGTAACGAAGAAGTAATAGTTGAAACTGTTTGTTGCTTGCCTTACATTTCACCTAATATGAGGGAACACTTCTTAGATTATCATATGTTGCCCTTTGTAAGGATGATTGCCTCATATTGATAGTGCAAAGTAGAGTTGTTATAATGTTTGTCCCATATAATTCCCTTGCCTCATTTATACTGAAAAATTACTCTAGTGGATGAATCTATATCATCTGATTTTGCGTAACTATCATTTTGATTACTGTATATGGCAGGGTTCCATCAGGACCTGGTCATTCCAGTAATGAATTTTCATAATGAAGACAAGGATTTTATGTGTTTGGCTGGGGATGTTTTTGATGTGCCAATTAGGAAGGATATTATTCATCGTGTTGTAAGATAAGATGGCAACTAGCAAAACGACAACAGGTATGTGCACAATTCTTTTGAATCCCAAATTTCCAATTATAGAGCGTACATATTGGCGATCTATTCCTGTTTTACTCTGTGTTTCCCGTGCCTAAGAGCCATTTATCATTTTCCATTTCTCATCTTACTGTCAATTGTTTCTCTGGGAAACAAAGAGGCTTACTGGGGAAAAAGAGAATCAGGATGATCATTTTGAGGCATATGAAAACCACAGAAACTCATATGCCTTTGGGGGAAAAATCGTCTTGCTAAAGAAAATTGTTGCATACAAAAAATGATATAAGGCGTATCATTTAAATCAATCAGGGCCTCCTATTCTCCTACCTATTCTCCTACCTGTTTACTATCTTTATGCTTGTTCCCCTGATTCTACAAGCTTTGTAAATTATAGTTACTTGTCAAGGCAATAGAGGATTCAAATGGTGTTGTTGACCTACTCTTGATGAATATTGCAGATAACCCATTTAACTAAAACAATTAGTGAAGTTACTGGGGCTGGTAGAAAACCGTGGTGGCAGAAGGGAACTGGGCGAGCAAGGCCTGGAACACTGCATGGTACTCAGGTTCTACTTGTGTATATTGCTTTGATGTAAAGAGTATATCTTTCTGCTAAGTAATTTTGAATCATTTTTAGGACAAAAGTTTCCTGTAAATGTAAAATATCCTACATAATCCCCTTCTCTTGAAGTTCCAATCTTTCAAAATTTTCAGGTTCAAAATTACCTTGGTGAAACTTGTTCACGGATCTAATTGAAGCAAATATTATCACTATGTTTCTTCTTGACTCTTGAGCTTGAAAGCTTCGTGAAGATCTTGTCAGTTTGCAATACATACATGTTGAGTCAAAGGTGCAGGCATAAGTTGTAATTATGCATGGTTAAAATGTTAGTATTTGGTTTCCTACCCACAAGCTGCATCAACAGAAAGATAAAGGAGTTAGTTTCAGTAGGTATAGACGTATAAGGGAAAAAAGGGGACTCTGAAAGTTCATAGAGTGAAACATATTGCATTGGCTTGCCATCGTGGGATTTTTATGTCTAATTTTGTCTGTTCTTTTGGCATACGGAATTAACTGTACATCGCATGAAGTATTCTTGTTTCTTAGTTGTAATATAAAGTAAAACTGCATTAGAATCAAAATCGTTGGGCCCACAAGCGCGGGCAAGAGTCATCTAGTGTATAATAAATAATTTATAATTAATAAGTGGTTGCTAAGAAGTAGCATATTTATTTGAAATTATTGAAAATTCTTAACACTTTATCCATAGAAGATGAAATCATACATATGTTAAGAATATATGATTAAATAAATAGTTATCACTAAGGTGATTTATTTATTTAAGATCATTAAAAATTCTAATAGCTTTATACATAGGTGATTATGTTAGTACATGGATTAAGAGTTATGATTAGTAAATAGGATCTACTAAAATAGTTTATTTATTTGACTCATTAAAAAGGTGCTCAATGAAATTGTCTTTGAAAGTGTATGCTAGTGCTGAAGTTTATAGTAACTCTATGTTCATGAGAAGAGATACTGAGTATTTCACCCTAAACGATGAAAAGTAATATGGATTCTCATGTCTATAAATCAAGAGGACAATTTGTTGCAAGAGGAAATTTTCTGTATCTTACCCAAATAAACGATATAATGTATGTTCTATGCTCATGGGACAATAATAAGGAGAACGAAAGTATGATCATATTTATTTTAATCCTATGAAAATGTCCAAAAAGGTTATTCTCTGAATTTAGTTATAAATTTGAAGATCATGATTTTGACGAACTCCAATTGACCTTAAATTTGGTAGGTCATGAACACATAATATGAAGCAATTAATTCCAAATAAAGATACTTAGAGGTGAAACTAATAAACGGGGGATTTATCATAACAAACTAACCTCATATCTAATGAACATAAGAACCTAAGATCCCTAAATGGTCAAATTTTCGCAAATAATCCCGAACACGTACTCATCACCCCGCCTACACGGACTTCACATGACACAATTAGCACCAAAGACTCACATCTTAAGGGATAGTTCCCCCATACAAAGTTAGGAAAGATACTTACCTCAAAAAAGCTAGACTGTTATTCTAAAATGACCTTCTCGAGTGAAACAACCTCTGAACGGCTCAAATCTAGTCAAAATAACTTCAATTCATAAATTAAAGTCATAGAAAACAGTATAATAAAGCTTCAATCCTTAACAAGAATTAAAAGTCAACCCAAAAATTCGAACCCAGAGCCCGTACATCGGAACCAGATAAAATTTACAAAACCCGAACAGTCATTCCGATATGAGTTTAACCACACCAAAATTATCAATTTCCGATATCAAATCATAATTTTACAGTTTGAAAGATTTCTTCAAAATTTCCATTTTTCTCAACTCAAAATTTAATGATAAAAATAAAGATGAAATCATGAAGTATAATTAATTTCGAGTGAATAACACCTACCCCAAAGATTTTCTTGAAAACCCCACGAAGAATCGCTTAAATCTGAGGTCTACAACTCAAAATATGGAGAAAATGGCCAAACCCGCGACTTATATGATTGGTCCCAGGCACGATCGCACCTGTGACGCATTAGCCGCTTCGACGGCATCGCATTTGCGACAAAACATCGGCTTTTGCAGAGAATCACTGGAGGCCGCTCAACGCACCTGCGGAAAAAGCCCTGCTTCTGCGCTAACGCAGGTGCGGCCAGTGTTGCGCTTCTGCGCTACCTCTTCTCTCCTGCTCCTTTCCCGTCCGCTTCTGCAATCACGCAGGTGCGGAATATCCTTCGCACCTGCGGCAACTGTCCAGACCTGCCCAATTCGCTTATGGGACCAATTCATGCTTCTGCGTGCACGCACCTGCGGTCCCGCACGCGCAGGTGTGAAGACACCAGTTAAAAAAAAATCCAGTAGCTCCAAACAATGCTCCAATGATCCGAACCCCACCCGAAACTCTTTTGAACCACTCAGGAACTCATCCGAATATACCAATAAGTCCATACCGTAACACAGACCTATTCGAAGCCTCAAATCACATCAAACAACGTCGAAACTATAAATCGCACCACAAATCGAACTTATGAATTTCCAAGTCTTCTAACTCTCAAACACGTGCCGAAACATATCAAATCAACCCGGAATAACGCCAAATTTTGCATGCAAGTACCAAATTACACAATAGAGTTAATCCAACTCTCGGAACCGTAACTCGAGCCTAATATCACCAAAGTCAACTCTCGGTCAAACCTCTCAACGTTCCAAAACTTTAACTTTCCAATTTTCGCCGAAATGCTTCAAATTATCCTAAAGACCTCCAAATCCAAATCCGGACGCACGCCTAAGTTCAAAATCACCATACGAAACTACTTAAACTATCAAAATGCCATTTGGGAGTCGTCTATACAAAAGTCAAATTCCGGTCAACTCTTACCGCTTAAGCTTCTAAAACATGAATCCTTCTTCCAAGTCAATCCCAAATCATCTTAATCGAACTCGATTACGCACATACGTCATAACACATAATACAGAGCTGTTCGAGAATTGAAGCCATTGAACGTAGCATTAATTCTCAAAACGACTGGTCGGGTCGTTACATTCTTCCCATCTTAAACAAACGTTTGTCCTCGAACGTGTCAAGAATCATTTCGAAATCATCAAATCACTGAGTGAACTTACCATACATACACCGGCGGGTGATCCCACGACACCTCAATCCACATAATCGACGACACCGTCCCAATTGAAAATTATTCCTTTCACCCACACTGATAACCTTAGAACCAAATTTATCACTATCCAATCCTTTCCAAAAGACCCGATTCCCACATCAACACACAGTACCAACTTCAACTAGTTGCAACAACTTATGCCTACATCCCCAAGGTACAATCACACAATGTAACACATCATATATATATATGCCCTTAACAACAATTCTAGCCACAATAGCTGCCTATAGTCAAATTCAGTACCGGCTATTAGCCTCATATCCGTTAGAATCCTATTTCAAACCTTCACAACACTAACAACTATGCAAGAAACATGATGGTAGTAATTTTTGACCCATACAGAAACAATTTGAACTTTCAATAGTAAATCTCAATAATTAAATTAATTTCCCGAATACCACAATATTGACTGTCAAACTATCAAGTACGATGTTCATATCTCGGTTATCTCTATTGTTATTCTAATCTGAAAATTGTGGAGATAAACTACTCCTAGAACAATTTTAAAGAAAAAATAATCCATTTTCTAGGTACTCGTTTCATGATGATTGACCAGTTTGGTCAGAACTCTCTATTAAAGATTAGCTGAAAATTTTGCAATTATGCAGCTTGGCGTGCATCATGCATGTTCACTAAAAAATCTTATATTATTATGGTGATTGTGCGTGGTCTAAGGCTAGCTAATACTAATGTATATAATACTCGAAGAACAACTTCCTGAGGCCTTTTAATTTTGTTTCGATGTTTTAGACTGATTAAATAGGTAAATACTAATTACCATCACCTGGTGTTAGTTTACATTATGAGAAAATGTCCAGACTAAACTTAGAGAAAAGTGCATGTTGAAAAACTAATTCAAAGTTGTAGTAGGAAACTTTAGTTATTTATGATTTAATTTATTTAATTCATGTCTAAATAGGATTTGCAGTTAGAATAAATATAGGAATAAGTTTTTCTGTTTCTAGTTGAAATAGGTTTCATACTATTATAAATAGGGGTATTGATACCTTATTTTATGCGTGGAGAAAATAAAGAATTATAGAGATCAATTAGAGATTTATAATAAAATATTTTCGTTCATAGTTAAATATATGACTTTTGTCTCAGAACTCAATCTTATATTTTGAATTAATTCGAAATTATCAACAAATATCTAAGGATGAGGTTAGTTTTATCCTTCCTTTGTATCAAAAGACTGTTAAAACTCCATACAATGCTTCTATAAAAAGACTTAAGTCAGATAATGGTAGAAAGTACATCTCCCAAAAACTGTTGCAGGGGTATTTGTTCTTTTTCTCGACCAATTTGAATTCCATTTCATTTTTTATTTTAAGTGTTGTAGAGTAGTAAGTAGCTAGGCGGATTTCAGCGCGCATGCTGCATTGAGAATCTCTAAAGAAATTAGAAGCATTGACTGGCTGTTGACTTACATTAGCTTGATGACTGAAGGATTCAAGGATATTATTATTTCATGTATGCACAAAAGTAAGAATTGGGGAAATTAAAGCAACTTCTGGGTATTTGGTGTAAATGATACTAATAGTGCTAGTTTTTCAATTACTTCAAATTACATGCAAATGTCCAAAACATACAGAAGTGCCAGCACATGCACATGGCTATTGTTAACATGGAGGATCACTTTAATTAGCTAGTGGGGACATACACTAGTATATAGCTAATACTATGACGTACAGTCAGATTAAGTTAATTAATCTTTAAGTTTTTTCTTAATATATGAAACGAGCTACTTTCTCAATTAGTATATTATAGTAGCACTAGTACTAGTAAAAAATTTCAAACCAGTGAGAGTCAACATATATAGTGCACGCAGAGGCTCAGAAGGCAGCATTTCAGCTCTCGAGGGATTATATTGGATCGTTGTTGTTGTAAGAAAGGATAATGATTAAATTTCCCACTATTTAAGTGATTGCTTGGACTTGATAGGTAAAAAGCAGATCCTCATTACAGGGAACTTGCTCAAAACAAAGAGTCTCTCTATCTTTTTTCTTTTTTTAAACACTTTTTGGTACCAAAGAGACTCATAAAGAATTGACAGCATGCATGAATATTCTCTGCATGATCTCTTTATTTTTACGACTTCAATAAATCCTATTTCTGGTATCTAACTTTCATGCACTTATTTTCGTGTTCTTTTCATGCACTTATTTCTGTATTTTCTCACTATCAAGTATAGATACGGTCTACAGAGTCAGGATTTTGAATTTAAGGGTTCTAAATTATAGAAAAGATAACTTATTGAGTTCTACATAAATTACTAATATATATTAAGTTAATTTTTTTTAATATAAATAAAAAGTTTAGGCCAAAACCA